TCAGCCTCCTGAGTAACTAGGATTACAGTCATGAATCTCCAAGGCCCAGCTTGGATTTTTAAGTCCCTTATTAGTAATTTCCCTAATGGCTATGTAGTAATATTCTTCATTCAACAAATATTATTCACCTACTATGTGCTTATGCACTGTTTCAATGCTGACAGCAGAGAAATAACCAAAATCATAAGAATAAAGGGTAGGCTGACAATAAATAACTGCAGTGGGAAAAAAAATAATCAAAGAAGTTCCCAGGAACTACTGGACAGTGGAATGGATTTGGAGTTTTAAACATGCTGGTTACAAAGGGCCATAGTGAAGGGTTACAATTTGAGGAAAATGTTGAAGAGTGGGTGGGGTGAGCCAAGCATAGCACAGGCGTGGGCCTCTGTGCTCAACATGTAGAAAGGACAGTCATGAGTCCAGTTTGGCTGAATGGGGTAAATGTACAGGAAGGGATAGTGAAAAATGAGCTGGAGGCAAGGTTGATGGTTGAACCAATTAATTATATGGTCACTATAAGACCTTGATCATTCTGAGTGACACGGTACTATTTTGAGACTGAGTTGTTCAGCCATATTTTAACAGCATTACCCTAGCTGAAGGAAGACAGAGGCTGGAGTATTTGAGGTTAGAGGGGTGGGAAAGTGGTTGGATTCTGAATCTGTTTTGAATTTTTAAAAAAGTAAAACTATTTGCTGTTGGATGCAATTCATGTCATGAGACAGAGATGAGAGCTAATATTGACTTTAAGATTTCTTTTGGGGGGCTGGGAAGGTGGCTCAGGGGTAGAGTGCTTGCCTTGCATGCAAGAGGCCCTGGGTTCGATTCCTTAGCACCACATAAGCAAAAAGAAAAAAGCCAGAATTGGCGCTGTGGCTCAAGTGGTAGAGCGCTAGCCTTGAGCTGAAGAGATGAGGGACACACCCAGGCCCAGAGTTCAGACCCCATGACCAGACCCAAAAAAAAAAAAAAAAAGATTTCTTTGGAATGTGTATTCATTGAGATGGTAAGCCAGTTAGGGTAGCAAAATCCAAAGTTAGGTTTAGATCACAGAATTATGAGCACAAGTAAGACCTCTTATGTTTCTTACAATGCCAAGGGAGAGCAGGTGCTGAGTTCAAGCCCCAGATACCTGTATACATCAAGTCTCTATTCTATGATTTCCACAGGCAAGGACAGTGATGAAGTGAAATCCTCAAAAGCAAAGACAAAGAATGATTCTTGGAGCAGAAGAGGGACTAATAGGATCAGTTAATGTCAAACACCCCTTCATTTTAAGAGGAAGAATTTCACTTGCCAAGGGTTTAAAGTAAAATTGGGAGGTATAATTAAGGTAATTTAAAATGAATCCATTTCCAAATGAGAAAATGATGTTTTAGCAGAATTCAGTCATTACATAATAAGTTAATGAGGTGCTACCTGTACCTAGTTCACAACTCAATTTAAAGGAATGAAGTTCTAATTTAGTCAGCTTTCACTTAGGAAATAAGCAATGTCACTTAACTTCCTAGAAAATGATTTCTTCCCTTTCTGTGTCTGATTGATACACATCTCACTAAGGATATACAAATCTCACTAAGGAGAAACAAATCTTACTAAGTGAATACATTTATAAAATAAATCTCTTATTTTAATTTGGTCTCCTCAAATGGAATTATTATTTAAACATAAGCAGCAATATCAACTATAATTACAGAACCTACTTGTAATATAGTTTATAGTTTATAGTACACAGTACTGAGGCAGCTACAAAGAAATAATTAACACTGGGATTGGAAGGATTAGAAGGCATAAAAACAAGTGTTATCATAAAATGGTGTGGTTGGAAGTCACCATTCCAGGAATGTTACAGATTGGCATGAAAGTTCTAGAGGGTTCCACATTTGAACATTGAATTAAACATTGCTAAGCTATACAAAGAAGCAATGATGCAGGAAACTGAGATGAGAGGAGGAGGTCTCCTTAGATATTGCAAAATATATAGATGATCAGTAGATGGTATGCACATATATGCATATCATAAATGTATTAGTTATATTTATTATAAAATATTATATTTGAGCCTCACAATGACATAAATGTAAACCTCATAAACTTCTCATTGTGAAAACTTCAAGTAAGTGTCTTTCTCTTCAACTCTGACAAGAATATTCTTTTGGATGATCTTTACCTGAAACTGCAACCATAGAATACCTGAAACAAAATAATTTACTAAAATGTTTTTTTAAAGAAGTTTATATTAACACTTTCTAGAGACCAGAAGTACAAGATTAGAAATCATATCTAGGAAGGACGTCCAGAGCTGAAAACATGATAGAAAACCTGGTGGACCAGCAGGTGCATACAGAGAGACATAAAGAGAGTCTTCATTATCAAAACTCACTCTCATAGTAACTAATCCGGTCCCATGTGAATGAGACCTCTCTTACTCCTGGGAAAATTAACCCAGTCCTCCCAGATCCTCCTCCCAAAGCAACACTAACCTTTCTTAATGACTTAATTAATGAACCCATTCCCCAACACCATCACAATGGCAATTAAATTCCAGCATGAATTTCAGAGGGAAAAAATATATCCAAATCACAGCCAGGGGCTTTCCTTTTTTCTATTCAACAGTTCTCTTAGCCTTCATTTTAATTTGGCTTCACTTCATTGATGTTTCCCTCATTTGGCAGAAGAACAAGTGTTACCAGGACTAGGACCTACTATATCTCCCACATTTCAACAGTGATTCAAAAATGTGGGTCCATGTACATCTACCTACCTATTTATAACTATTTGCTATCTATCTATATCTATCACATATATACATATATGTTTACGATGCACACACATGTATGTTATACCCACATATATGTTCTACACATATACATTATGTGTGTGACTAACACATACTTCAAATTTAACAAATGTTGATATTATGATATAATTTATTACTTTTAAACATATATATACATTTAAAAGATTACATTGCTTTTCAGTGGAGATTAAATCAGTCTAGGCTGTGATTCTTACTGATCTCATTACATTTTTCACAAAAAGCAAGTTCTACTTTGAGGGGTAAATAGTAATAGTGTATCTATTTTTACATGATTAGGGGATAGCGACTAAGGCCTGAGGGCTAAATCTAGCCTACCATCCATTTTAAGAGGAGAAAAAGGGGAAAATGCAAGAAAGCAATGTATAGCCTACAAAATTAAGAAGAATGAGAGAAGGTATAGATAGGGGAGTGATGGGTGAGAATGTTGAAAGGGGTGACACTGATCAAGATACATAGTATTCATAAACTGCCTTGTCAAATGGAAACTCCTTTGTGCAATTACCTAAAGATAATAACAAAAAATAAAAATAAAGTAGCCAGTCAAAAGCTGTGGCCTAGGACTGAGTCACAAAACAAACACAGTCTAGTCCTACTTCCACAACAAATATTAGTCCAATATTAATCAGACAAATAGACTAAGTCAAAAACTATAAAGATGGTCATTATGCATGAAAAAGGTAAAGTCATCAAGATGATATAATGATTTCAAATATATATGGACCTAACCTTGTAGGACCTAACTATAGAAAAGAAAATATTAATAGGCCCAAGAAACAATAAAATGTGATATTTAATATTATGGTACCTGAAGATGTTATTGCACTGAGAAATCCACTACAACAATACTACATGATTGATTGTCTCATGTCATTTTCACATAGAAACAAACTTTGGCTCATAGTATTTATGATGTGTTGAAAACTGTCATTAAGAATGGATAGGAAGTTGATGATTTAGCTCAGCGAAAGAGAAAGCCCTGAGCTCAATACTCAGCTCTGAAAAACAGAGTGAGAGAAATAAAGCAAAGTTAGAAAGATAGGAGAATCTGAATGTTGATGTCTCATGCTTGCAATCCTAGTTACTTAGGAAACTTGAGATATGAGGATCATGGTTCAAAGACAATGTGGACAGGAATGTCCATGAGACTCTTATCTCCAATTAACCAAAGGGGAAAAAAGGCACAAGTGGAAATGTAGTCAAGTGGTAGAGGGCTAGCCTTGAGCAAAAACACTAGGAACTGCACCTAGACTGAGTTCAAGCCCCAGGATGGGCACCACAATAACAACAAAAAATGGACAGCCATTAAGGAAGAGTAATAAGGATGGGACAAATTTGATCCAAGTATATCACATGCATGTTGCCAATATCACAATGGAGTGCCTTTGATCAGTGACTTATGTTAGTAATTTTTTAAAAGAATAAATAAACATAGAAATCAGGAGAAAACTGAAATTTTTAAAAGAGAATGGTTGTAATGGCGTAATCCTAGCCACTTACTTAGGAGACTAAGACTTCCTGAGGAGCACAGTTCAATGTAAACTAGAGCAGAAAAGTCTGAAGTCTATCTCCAAACTCAACAGCAAACAGCTAGACTAGAGATGTGGCTCAGGTAGTAGAGCAGTAGCTGTGAGTAATTAAAGCTGAGCACATATGAGTACACAGAGAATGAGGAATCACCCTTCATTGTAGGCTGGCCAGTTTTCATTTTCTTTGAAGCCAAAGAAGACCCTTAGTGAGAGAATTTAGCACAAACAACTACTAGAGCTGTGTTTATCATTTAAAATTGCCTAATTTAGCCACTTTGGCCTGGCTAGCAAAGTAGAAAGATGAATACATATTGTTCTGTTCAAAATATATTTACCATATTGGAAACTTTTCTGTGACTCCTTTTGTATTTATAATGTAAGGAAAATAGTAAAATGTGTTCAGTTACTGAAGGTAGTGTAGCAGTTTCCTATCAAAGCAAGGGAAATAAAACCTTTATTTACATGTAAAGAACCTTTCCTTAGGAGGAGTCCCTGGGGATTTGACTTTAATTGTATCACTTTTACCAATAGCATGGAGGGAGACCTAAGGCCATCCAAATGGAGCCAATTTGTCTTCCTGGAAGCTGAGCTAAAAGCCTATCTCATGACTGAGCAGTATTTAAGCTAATGCAGGTGGGATTTACATTTTTCAGGAATGGACAAATGAGGTCTTCAGTTTGGCAACAAACCTGCTGGCCCAAAACATGTCCAGGGATGCCTTTCTGGAAAAAGCGTAAGTCCTTCTAATTTTATTGCTAAGGGTGTTGCTACTTCTGAGTCCAGTTCCTTTCCCCTTTGTGAGCCTTTTGTTTAGGTGGCCCCAGCTTCTCACATTAACAAACATAAATTTTCCTCCTGTTAGAGAATGGATACCCTCACTGTTTGGAATTGGAAGACTTCCAAGAAAGATGGCTCTTATTTTCCTCTAGGCTGCGCATTGTGTTAGGCCTGAGCTGAGACTTAATATGAATGCCTTTGACATACCATGAGAAGCTATGTTCAAATCCAGGCAGCTGTGTTCACAACTAGAAATGGTGAATTTCAGAGACTCTCGGCTGCTGCCTTTACCTGCCTGTGTCTTCTTAGTTATGAATCTGAGGAAGACAATGAGTAGCATTCATGCTTCTTGTTTCTCAGGTCAGATCTCTGATGAAGGCCTCAGTAATTTTCTGCCTACTTTAATCAGTAGACTGCTGTCCATCACAGATGAGCAAGAAAAGAGCAGAGAAAGGATACAGAGGGAAAACAGAAAGGAAAGGGAGAGGGAAAGTAATGCAAAATAAATTAGCAAATTATTTTGGAATTGAAACCACTTTTCTAAAAAAAAATCGTCTGCTCAAAGAAACCACATGAGCAGCAAGGAAAGTTGGTTGTTGTTCCTTTTGGAAGCCATGGTCATCAAGGAGGTTGGAAAGTCTTTACATCAAAACAATGAGCATTCCAGACCTCATAGCTTGGCCACACTTTTTTTGCTTTTCTACCAATTCCTTTTTCCTTTTAGCTCCAGCACTTCATTTAAAATGCTTCTTTGAGGGACCATTTCTCCTAAATGAGTTACCTTAAGATTCCTTCCATCCTTGCTTTTCCTTTCTTTTTTTCCTGTCTCTGATTCAAGCACCCTTCATCCAACAGACATTTCCAACGTGTCCATTCTTCCAGGCAAAGTGAACGGAAGGAAACAAAGAGAAGTAGGACATAAACATTTCAGCCCTGTATATACTTAGAAATGGGATAAATGGGTCTCAGGGTGTATACAGTATTCCACATTTGCATACCCATCAGCAGGGAGGGAGAGCTCTGTTGTCCCATTTTCCTACCTGTGTTTCCATAAGTAGTTCAAGAGATCAATATAGTTGGTAGATTACATCCACTAATGAGAATGAACACTCTAAAATATAAAGCTGATATAAAATATAAATGCCCCAAGATATAAAGCTGAGTGGAAAGAAAGAAAGCCAAATACAAAGGAATATGATTATCATTTTTGAAAGGTGATAAATAGGCCAAAATTATCTATGATTCTTCACATCAGGAAAACAGTTCCTTTGATGGACAGGAGGGGGGGTCTGAGAGGAGATTCAGAGTTGCTGTTAAGGTGACTCTTGTCTAGTTCTTGTTTGGGGTATCAATTTGTAGATTCAGACAGTTTGCAAAAATTCAGCAACTGCCCATTCACATAGACTTTTTTTTTATTCTGTGTGTTGTATTTTGCGATAAAACTCTGCTTAAAGAGTGAAACCCTTGCCTTTCTGCTCCTTCAACAGATACACAAAACTAAAACTACAAGTCACTCCAGAAGGGCGTATCCCTCTCAAAAAGTAAGTTTCACAAGCATGTCCCATGATTCATTTGCTTTTTCTCCGAGATTTGAGTGTGTGCCATGCTCTGTTTGGCATCTCCACCCTCTGAAGTGGAAGCATGGAAACGTGTGGGAATTCTATTCTTCTGCAGTCATGTCTCACATCAGAGCAGCTGGCCCCCTCAACACATTTCCTGTGGTATCATTTTCAAGAAATACCAAGGCAGAAAGTGGGTGGGGAGAGTAGGAAGGGAACCTCATTGCTAAACCCAGAAACCACTTGAGATTCGCATCTATTTTAGGAGTACAAACTGAGGGCCTTCAGTGCCTCTTGTTGTCCTCATGGCTTGGGCCTTCAGAATGGGTTTGCAAGCCTGATGCTCCTAGGAGCCAGACAGGAAATCTAAGAGGCAACAGCAGGGGCAGAAACAAGAAGGAAACGAAAGAGCAAAACCAGTCCAAGGGAGCTATCAGCTCACCTCCACCACGTACATGTTAAAACTAGTGAGTTTGGGACATAGGATTTTCTAATGTTTCAATAAAACATAGATAAATTCAAACCATTGTATTAAATTATCCAGAACGTAAGTTCTGTTTTATTTTTAATTTAAAAAAATTTAGTAACCAAAGAAAGTATATGTGAAGACAATGTTAGCTAAAAAGCTTAAAAGCTCCATGTGAGTTTCTGTGAATTAAAAAAAATGTTAAATTATCAGTAATATAACACTTTGGGGGGTACCTTAGGGCAAAGATGTGAAAGATTCTTAGTTCAATGTTTAGCATGAGATGTCCCTTAATGCCAAAGTTTTTAACTGAATAATACTGATAGTCTCAACATGTTGATATTCCATTGGACACTAATGTTTAAAAAGCATACACACTGGTCTTGGAGAACACAGATGCAGACATGACAAAAAGGGCATGTACTCATACTTATCAAATAGGTTTGATACAGTGTAGTATCTTAAGTTGGCATCTTCGGTCAGTGTGCTGGAATGTTGCCTTTTAACCAGCTCTCCCCTGTGTGTTTTCACTTCACAGCATATATCGCTTATTTTCTGCCGACCGGAAGCGAGTTGAAACTGCATTAGAGGCGTGTAGTCTTCCATCTTCAAGGGTGAGTGTGTTGCTTAAGAAGGACCCCACTGCACAATAGCTTTTAATAAGTCACACTAAACACACAGAGGCCCATTGTCCCAGCAGTACCTGACATAATATTCTGCCACTGAGAAACTGCAAATATTTGTTAACATCTGCAGTGTACAAGATGACTGTTAGATTCTTTCATTCCCATAACGCCAATAATTCAACCTAAAATTCCCCTCTCTTTCCATAGACTTAAATCAATAATTGGGGCTGAGGTGAGTCTCAGTGTTAGGGCACATGGTTAGGATGTAATAGGCCTCAGTTTGATTCCTAGCACTGGGACTGCGGGAAGGGAGGAAGAAAGAGAGAGAGAGAAGTGGGGAGCAGAGACGGAAGTAGGATGTGAAGAAGGGAGCAAGGAAGGGAGAGAGGAAGGAAGTCAGCAATGCCAAAAGTTCACTATTATCAAGAAAACCATTTGTTAAGACAATTCACATCTATCATTAACAAAAAGCCTTTTCTTTATGTCGCTTGTGATTTTTAGCCAAAGATAGTGTAAAGCTTTTATGGTTAGAAAGAGAAATACTAAATTTACTTTCTACTTTTAAATTTTCTAGTTTTAGGATGTGGAAGTTGCATACACAATTAGTATGGCCATGCATATTCGCAAATAAGTAGAAAGCACATGGTCTGCAGAGCTCTAGTCAAAGGTGTCACTGGGAGAGATGCTGAAGCAATGCATTTTGGAGATTTCCCATTTTCCTCTTAGGTGGTCAAGTAGGGAATCCTCCTTCCTGGCCTCACTCCATATATAGTAAAGGCACTCCATATATATTAAACACCTAGAATATGGTCACCTGCCTTTATTTCAACACATATCTTCACAACTGGATTGAAAGGATTTGTTCCCATCGCATCGAAGAGAACAGAGTCCATTGCATAAACTTCATTTTTTTCATGCTATATGCAGAACTCTCCTTTCTCCCTCAAATTATTTTTATCCCAGTTCCCAGTATCTAAGCAACAAGTAAGCACTTGCCTGAGGACAACACCAACTTTATAGAAAGGCTCTGAGCCCCTGGAAACACACTACGTACGTTCAAGTTGCAATAATGCAATTGTGAATCCTCTTGAATTATTCAAGAGGAAAAGGTTCTGAGAGCCATTTATAACATTTATCAGCCAATTCTTGTGAATATTTTTCAAAAAATAAAAGTTTAATAAAAACTTTGATAAGGCCACAGGAAAAAATTCTCTAATGACACTTTTCCTTTGGTGTTATTTAAGACTAGACACAGCTGGGCAAAGTGCTGTTTCTGTACCTTTCTGTCATTCAGTCATTCTGTCTTTCTGTCTGTCTCTCTCTTTCTTCTCTCTCTCTCTTTCTCTATCACTTCCCTTCCATCCTTCCTTTGCTTCTATCCTTCTTACCCTTCCTTCTTTTCTTCCTCTCTTCCTTCCTTTTTTATTGGCATTTCTAGGAATTGAACCTAAAGCCTTTATATATGCTAGATAAGCCTTCTGCCACTGAGTTGAATCCCCAGCCCTTTCCTTTCATTTTAATAAGAAAAATGAAGTGCTTGAATGTGCTTGCTTTTGTGCTTCTGTTCGTTGTTGGCATGGAAAAGCTTTAACAATGAAAGCCCTGTCACGGATTCAATAACTGTTCCTGGAGCCCTGACTACCTGCCTAGAGACACTGAGCATGTGGTGGTGCATCAAATGAAGTCCAGGGTGTCAAGAACTTCATAGTCTTCCAAGGAAATCAATCAGTAAATACATCATCAACTGCATTTTTAAGTTAGGAGGAGCACTATTAAATAATGAAATGCTGACACTGAGAATCATTCCAGAAAGAAGTCAGTACACAAAACTCCAAGGCAGAGAATTTACTGGATGGGAGCAACTGAGAAAAGACCATTATATTTAATTATAAAGGAAAGGTATGAGATGGGATTACTAAGACGTGCAGAGAGGGTTGGATTTGTAATCACTTCTTATTTTATCTTTTCTGGAATCATATTGTGTACAATGCAGGGATATAAAATTTTAACTTACACACCTAGCTAAAGGAAAGAAGGAATAGAAAATGAAGCTGACAAGAAAATCAAAGCCACCTATTCATGCTCAGTAAATTACATTTTTATAAACAACTGAATTCTGATGATATAGTCAATAAACATAAATTGAATCTTGGGAATCTACTATATCTATTATAGGTTCAAACTTTCAATTCAGTTTCAACCAGAGACACATTAGAAAGAAAATGAAATTGAAATAACAAGAATTAAGTTTAAATTAGAAAGAACACTGTCTTTAGAAAACTAAGTATAATGACTTTTGAAAATGAACTGAAGATGTTTTTAAAATATAATAAACCTTTATTATAGTTTAGAAAGATCATTATTCACAGTAAAGAATAATTTATCAGAGGTCTTGGTAGAATTTAATTCCAAAAACCAAAGACAGTTTTAGAGCCAGAAAATAAATGTTTTTGTGAACAGACAATAGTATATCAACATTATATTTTAAGTCCTTTGATAATTTCATATCTACAAAATGGCAGAAATAGTCATGAACTAGCTGAAAGTTCCCAGAAGAATTAAGAAGATGTATTCCACAGATAATGGTAACGGATTCTGTATAAATAGGAATCTGTGTTATAGCCAGCCATCATTCTAACTACAGTTTTATTGTGTTCTGTAAATAGATACTTTACCAGAAACACAGTGGATATCCTGTTGAAATTTTTTGAACATTATCTTTGTGCACATTGTTGGAGATAATTAATATACTTGAACTTGTACCCTGGCTGACATGATCCATTGCAATAACACATTCCTGAAGAGGATATTCCTTTGGAGATTACTGTGGCTCACCTCAAGTCACCCTAATTGTTAAAAAGTAGTACTATGCCTAAAAAGAGAGATAAAGCAATTACTGTCCTTCTATTAATATCTGAACATATTTTCCAGGGAGACCTTTGAAAGTCTTTCCAAATTCAGAAAAGTATGACTCTACCCACAAGCTTTCTGAGACCTGAAAATAATTTATTTGTACTAAATTCCCCGGACTGAAGGCTTATTAACTTAAACAGAACTCAGTGACAGTTGGAATTGTACACTTGCAATAGCATGGCCTTGTGTGGTTATATTTTAATGAACTAGATAAGAAGGAAATGCATATATTTGTTTTAAATACCAAAATTTCCTACAATTTGTCTGTGCTCACATATAATACAGAGCAGAACTATTTTTGATTTAAAGCTATTATACATCTTACTAATGAATAAGGTGAATAAAATTTACTAAGCAACTTCTCTTAATAGCCGCAGTTTGTTGCTCTTTTTCTACACTTTACATCCATCAGTCAGAAAAGATCAGTTTTGTGCTGTGATGCTTGAAAATTACAAGTATCAAATTTCTGTTTTAAAGCCAGCTTGAGAATGGCACATTAGAAGTGAGGTATTTGTAATTATTTCCTAGACTGTTGCTAATTCAACTTTGATTTATAGTTTTAGAGTATAAAATATTGAAAATGAGTTAATCTTTTTGTTTAATTTACTGGGGAACAATCCCTTGGCTTATCAAGAAATAAGATCTATATGTAGACTTTATTCATTAGAGTCATCTTTAATAAATGAATAGCTATAAATCACAGTTGTGAATGCTAAATACCTGCTCATAATAGAATTATTGCTTTAAATCTAGGAATATATAAAGGGGAAAGTTCAAGCCATCTTCCTAAAATTAAAAGTAGTTTATGGTAGGAGTTGTAGAATAGAGCAACGCAGCTTCTACATGTCACAAACCATTCTCATATAGTGTATTTATTCATGTAATAAATGCAAATCATATACTTATTAAATGTTATACATTGGAAATGCAGCATTTAAGAGTGACACATAGTGCACCTTGCATACATCTTTAGGTTAGCAAGAAATAGAATGATTCTCCACAAAGGAGTGGACAATATCCTTAAGTAGTTGTTGAAATATGAGACTGGCAAGGTGTGATATGAGAATAGGTTCAAGATAAAACCCAGTCAGGGGGAACACAAGGCTATCTAACCTAACAAGTGAAGGAAGAAACAAGAGAGCAGTTAAGAGGAGGAAGACCATTATTGATATCCTCAGATAAAATCAATTTATGTGTGTGCTGGGAGAGATAAAAGTGGCTAGGAATGACCTAGACTTAGTAGAGAAAATGAGAGAGAGAACACACTTGGGATTCATAAGATTCAATCAAGTTGGGAACACTTGAGTTGGCCAGCGGTACCACTGAGTGTTTTTCTGCAATTGATTTTAAATCATCCTCTTCTCTGTGTCTCATATCCAAAGAGTGGAGAGTAGATAGTCTTTTCTGCTGTCTAGAAAACTAATTTTAAAAGTGTGTGTGTGTGTGTGTGTGTGTGTGTGTGTGTGTGTGTGTGTGTAAGAGAGAAAGAGGGAGAGAGTGTGCAGAGAAAGGGGTTTTATTCTGTTTATAAATAAAATGGAACTTTCAAAACCTATTTACAGATTGTATTTGTACCCATTTGTGTCAAAACATCAGTAAAACAATGCTTGAGAATTTCCTAGTGCTCTTGGATTTGACTCATTGTGCTCATGATTTGTAAACAGCCCAAGTCTTTTGTTCATTACTATATGTTAATTATACATAAGAATTTTGTTGTGCTATTTCCACTCACGTATATAAGATACTTCAGTTAAATTCACCCCCTCCATTGTCCACTTTTGTCTCCTCTCCTGCCTTTAACAAATCTGTAGTAGGTTTCACATGTGGACAAATCCAAGTGGTCTGACGCTAGTAGTATTAAGCATCTAAGTAAAATGACTTAATGTGTTGCTTGGTTTTCTAAAAATTCTCATTTGCAAAATGAGAATAGATTCAATAAAATGTAAACAGATTTAGTAAAGGAATTATTACTTCACTCATTCATTCCCCCAAATGGGTCTCTCCTATTGCCTGCCAAGTGCTGAGCTAAATTTTCTAATCTATTAGCAAGCAATGTCCAATTTCAGACAAAATTTCAGTGACTTTTAGAAATGTCTATAAAAGTACACCTCATAACCTATGAATATTTTCAAATGAAGGGTGTTTTCCTGGGTTTAGTGGCTTATAAGTAAACATATCCTAGAAACGCATATCTAAAATAGGAAAGCTCTGTGCAATACGTCCTTCCTGCTAACAAAAACTTGAATAAGTGCTTCCGGTTTCCATGGCAGCCCAACCAAACAGAAGAGCTAAGCCAGAAAAATAGCCTTTTATATTAATGATTTGCTTCCTAAACAATAGGACCAGGAGCAATGGGTGACAAATAATCACATGCGCTATTCTACTTAGGAAAACTGCTTTACAACTTACAATGTAAAACAGATGGAATATGGTCTGAAAAAAAATGACACAAAATTGGAATGTATGTTTTCCTTTAGACAATGCCTAGTTCTAAGGTCATCACTTTTCAAAAAAATGACTTATTTAAAAAACCTGATTTCGCATAGCACACTAAACCTGTGGCTCACTCACGTGATTCTAGCTACTTGAAAGACTGAGAATGGTAGGATTGCAATTCCAGGACAGCCTGGAAAGAAAATTCTAGAAGACTTTGCCTTCACAGGTGAAAACTAAATGTGGTGGTACATGCCTGTGATCCCGGCAATAACCGGAAACCTAAAGTAGGCAGATCATAGCTCATACAATTTCCTGGCCAAGAAGTGAGACCCTAACTTAAAAAACTAGAGTGAAAAACAGTGCTGGAGGAATTGCTCAGCAGTATCACACCAACCTAACAAGATTGAATCCTTGAGTTTAAGCCCTAATAATGCCAAAAAAATCCAAATTACAACAACACGCATATACTTCATGCCACTGTACACTTTAAAATGGATAAAATACTAATAATGGCTAAAATACTAGTTTAGGTATATCTTATCTTTAAAAAGCAAAAGGGATGACATTGTCCAAAAGGAAATGTACTCTTCAGCTGACTTACATAACTGTAACACATTGGTTAATAAAGATTTTTTATAATAATAAAAATGAATAAAAAATTTAAAAAGCCAAAGAGGTGCACTAGGAAAAAAGAAATCTGAACGCAAAGCATTTCTGCCATCCAGATCCTGTCTTTCTGGGTCTAATTTATTTTAGTAAATGTTCTTAGGAATTTCCTTAACATCCCTTACCAAGAGAATGCTTTTAAACTTAAAACTAAAAAGCAACAGAAAATAAAGGTTTGGATACCATCAAGTCAATGTCCAAATAATTATTACAGTTGGCTTCAAAAATCTGTTCTATGTTTACCCTGACCTCCTAGAGGAGCCGGGAATGAGGGAGAAGAACAGAGGGAGGGGAGGAGGGAAAGAAGAAGGAAGAGAAGATAGAAAGAAACAAGCAGAAAAAAAAAACTGGGATGGAAGAAGGTAGGGAAAGAAATAGACCATTGGAAGCTGGGCACTGGTGGCTCAGGCCTCTAATCCTAGCTACTGAGGAGGCTGAGATCTGAGGTTCACGGTTCAAAGCCAGCCCGGGCAGAACTCTTTCCCAATTAACCACTAGGAAACCAATAGTGGCGCTGTGGCTCAATGATAGAGCGCTTGCCTTGAGCTGAAGATCACAGGGATGGCTCCCAAGCCCAGAGTTCAAACCCCAAGACCGAAAAAAAAAAATAGACCATTTGCTTACCTCATTGTTTTTTATTTCCCAGAACGATTCAATACCTCAAGAGGATTTCACTCCAGATGTGTACAGAGTTTTCCTGAACAATCTTTGCCCCCGACCTGAAATTGATAACATCTTTTCTGAATTGTAAGAGGATTCATTTTATCTGCTTTCTTTCACAACTTTCATTAACACTGGGGATAGCTAGGGCTGAATTTTGAGCAGATGAGAGGAAACTGGGCAGATGTTGTACAATGTATCTGAAAATCTAGGCATCTGGGAGATTTGTTGGGCATGGTCACGCACTCCTGGCCCTGGGGTACAACCTCTGCATTAATGGACTGGTGCTTTCTGTGATCTATCACTGGATATTATTGTTTATGTATGCCCCGAGGGCTCTATGTGTTTAAAGATCACAATGTTGTACAGAAAGGTGTCTGGGCAAAGAGACAGCAGGCTCTGATTGTCAAAAGATTGTCTGGGAACTGCTCTGAAGCATTAGTGAGATGAGAACTTTGTCTTACTAAGAATCTTGCCAGCATAAAAGGCAAGTTATGTTATTTAATATTAGAAATCATAGGATTGCGTCCATTTCTGGTACATACCTATAATGGTCACTGCTCAGGAGGCAGAGATAGGGAGGATGGTGATTCAAGGCAAGCCTGGGCTAAAAATGTAATTCCTCACCCCAACCAATAGCAATATGCATTCCTGTAACGCCAGCGGTATGGAAGATTAAAGTCAGGAGTGTCATCATCTGAGAGATGACCCTGGGCAGAAAGCATGTCGAAAAACGAACTTTATAACTTTGGTGGTGGGGGGAAAGGATTGGTTAGGGGAAGGTTGGGGGAGTATGGGAAGGGATGGGAAGGGGAAACAAAGAGGAGGCAACAATGCTTGATAAGAAATGCACTTGTTATCTTGCCCATGTAATTGTAACAGTACTTTCACAATAAAAAAAAATATTTTAAAATACAGCAAAAAAGAGTTGGGGGATAGGTAAATTTGTAGAATGCCTGCCTCACCTGCCTGAGGTCCTGAGTTTAGAGCCTAGAAACAACGAAAGACAGACAGACAAAAGAAATTGTACATGTGCACAGATGGACAATACTTTTTTAAGCCTAGAAATATATTGAACAAAAAACATTTGTGAATTGAACCAAGCCATTTGTGAGAAAGTAGCACTTTGCCTAAATTGATGTACCTATATCTACCCAACAATAGAAAAGCAATCCAAAATTAATTTAAAAAAAGAGAAAGACAAGAAACTACTGAAAGTAACTTTGTACTTTGTGTCATTTTGTTCTGTGATATTCACTGCCATGAAATAGTTACTTCACATCTGCAATATTTATACTCTTCTACTGGTCCTTGAAGTTTCGAAGTTACACTCTTGTAAAACTATAAATGTAATGAAGAAAGTTTACATTATTAAAATAAATGAATAATAAATACATTTTCAAATGATTAATTAGGAGATAATATGTTGATGACTAAACCATAATTTTAGTGTTATTATAATAAAAATTCAATTCAGACCACTGTGTTCAAAGTTCATCTTCAATACCTTCCATACAGTGTTTACCAATTGTAGATCTTTTTCTGGGTATTTGATTTGTCAAAAAAAGGGCATTGGGTTTTTATGATGGTGATTACCAAAGATAGTGTGTGGCCCTAAGGATCCAGAAAGTATGATGTAGTAGTACCATGTTTTAGGGAAAAGTAGGAATTTCAATATAATATATACTCTCAAGTACGGCCAGATTTTGTTTCCCTGTAGTAAGATACATAAATAGACTTGGTGAGCCCATTGCTGAGAGCTCACACCTGTAATCCAAGCTACTTAGAATGCTGAGATATGAGGATTATGGTTTGAAGTCAATCTAGACGGAAAACCCATCAGATTCTTATTTCCAATTAACACCAAAAAGCCAAGAAGTAGAGCTGTGGTTCAAGTGGTAGAGCACTAGCCTTGAACAAAAAAAAAAAAACAAGAAGAAGAAGAAAAGCAAAAGAAAAGAGAAACAAGAAAGAAAAGAAAAGAGAAAACAAGAAAGAAAAGAAAAAGAAAAGAAAAACCTCAGACAGTACCCAGGCACTGAGTTAAAACCCTCATACTAATATGCACACAAAAATTGAAATTAATTAATAAGTAAATACTAAAAAGACTTGGTGAAAAAACATTACCATTTCTTGATTTTTCTTTCTAATTGTTTTAGTGGTGCCAAAAGCAAACCATACCTTACTGTTGACCAGATGATGGATTTTATCAACCTTAAGCAGCGAGATCCCCGGCTAAATGAAATACTCTACCCACCTCTGAAACAAGAGCAAGTCCAAGTATTGATTGAAAAGTATGAACCTAATGATAGTCTCGCCAAAAAAGGTCAGTATGCTCGTTCCACACTGCAGAGAAGGCCTGATTCCCTTCTCAGGGGAGGCAGATTGGGGTGTGTATCTCAGTGTAGGAGTTAGGGCTGGCAACATTCACTTTTCCTCTTTCCTCTGCCTGATTGCCTGATGAACTGAAATCACTGGGGACTCAAGCCAAAGCAGATTTTATTCACTTTAATGAGCGACTTGTTTTTGGCTGTTATGTGTATGTATACCTATGACAAGGTTTTTAAGTTTATGGGCTTTTAACTTTTTATTGTAAAGGGGTTACAGTTACATAAATCAGGTCATGAGTATAATCCTTTGTCTTATTATTTGAATATGTTTTTTCAAATTTATGTACAATTTTTCTCATACAGGAGATTCAGTAACTTAAAATTTTCTCTTTTGGGTCTCTTTCTAGGAAGTTTTGTAGAGTAACACTCAGTTATTCTTTTTCTAAGTCTCTGAAATTGAAGAGAATATTCAGTCTACTAGACTTTTCTTCTTCAACGTACACTATCAATAAATAGTTCCATTTGAGGAAATATTATGACATTTGGTTTTATATATAATATATATTATATATAATATATCGAGAGAAAGGGTGGGATTGAGTATTAACACAAAAATAATCAAGCATAAAAATTGACACTAGACAGTTCAAAGTTGTTTATTGAGACTATATAAAACTTTTCATTTTAATTTTTTTGGTAGTACTGGAGCATAAACGGGAGTCAGGCTTGCTAGGCAGGTGCTTTACTACTTGAATCATGCCCTTACTTCTTTATTTTTTGAGTGAGGTTTTGTGTATTTTTCCAGGTAGGCCTGAACTGCCTAAACTGTGATCCTCCTATTTTGGCTTTCCCTATGACTGGGATATGAGGTATATCTCATTACACCCAGTTGACTTAATGAGATGAGGTCTTAATAAGTTTTATCATGAACTGAAATCAAATTTGGTCTTCCTGACCTATACATTACAAATATATAGGTTTTAGGCATAAACCACAACACATGGCCTATATTTTCTTGTCTAGAGAAATGTCACCAAAATAAGATTATGAGAGTTAATTTCTGAGTTTTAATTATATGTGATACCATTGTTCCCAGACAAGATCTTTAGCATTTTCTCAGCTATTACAATTAAGTCTCATTTGAGTTGAAATATCTTCAAAATTGCTGTGTTATTACTAATATAGTTGAAAGTGATCATGATGTTCCATAAGAAAGTAAACTGAATACATTTAACCAATTTTACAAAAGAAATAAATTGCATATTAAGCCAGGCACCAGTGGCTAACACCTGTAATCCTAGCTACTCAGAGGGCTAAGATGTGAGGATTGTGGTTCAAAGCCAGCTTGGTCAAGAAAATCCATGAGACTCTTATCTCCAATTAACCACCAGAACACCAGAAGTGACACTGTGGCTCAAAGTGGTAGCGTACTAGCCTTGAACAAAAGAACTCAGAGACAGTGCCCAGGCCCCACATTCAAGCCCCACAATCATCACCACCACCACCAACAACAACAAAAAAATGTGTGTTAATATATGAGCAGGTTTTTTTATAGAATCACAAATAATTCAATCAAACTTATAGTTACAAGTGAGAATAGTTGTCATAAAAAGTAAATTTTAAAATCTTTTGACCCTGTCTTTATTCTAGAATTGGTCTTCTAAGATGAAAATCAATGTATGTATTACATATCATATAAAATCTTCTTGTTTTCTCCATGTGATGAATTTTATTTTATTTATTTATTTTGTTGGTTACGGGGTTTGAACTCAGGGCCTAGGCACTGTCCTTGAGCTTTTGTGCCCAAGGCTAGTGCTCTAGTGCTAGTGGTCTATCACTTTGAGCCACAGCTGCACTTCTAGGCTTCTGGTAGTTAATTGCTGATAAGGGAAGGGATAGTAGGAGAAAAACAAAGGAGGGGGTAACAATGCTCAATAAGAAAGGTACTCATACTATGTTAAAAAAAAGAATTTTACAACTTCAGGGAGGGAGGAGTGTGGAGGTGGGGAGGGAAGGGATACTAGGGGAAAAACAAAGGAGGGGATAACAATGCTCCATAGGAAATGTACTCATTACCTTATTCATGTAACTGTAACCCCTCTGTACAGTATCTTTACAATAAATAAAACAATAAAAAGAAATATACTCATTACCTTACTCATGTAACTAACTCCTCTGCACAGCATTTTTATTTTAAAAAAGAGTCTCATGGACTTTCCTGCACAGTCTGCTTTGAACCACGATCCTGAGAGCTCAGCCTCACGAATAGCTAGGATTACAGGCATGAACCACTAGTGCCTGGCTTTTGAATGTAATTTTTATAGGTGATACTTTTTTTAGTTTCTAATTTATTTTCTTGATCAATGCCTTTGCTTTCTTACTATTATTGTTCTTACCATTTCTGTGGAGGAGAAGTTGGTCAAAAGAAGAAAATTAAGCCAGCACCAGTAGCTGGCTCTCACCTCTTATCCTAACCCCTCAGCAGGCTCAGATCTCAGGATTGCGGTTCAATGCTATCCTAGGCCAAAAAATCCCTGTGAGACTCTTATCTCCAATTAACCATTCAAAAAGTGAAAGTGACACTGTGGCTCAAGTGGTAGAGTGCTAGCCTTGAGCACAAAGAGGCTCTAGGCCCTGAGTTCAAACGCCACAACTGCCAGGAAAAAGGAAAAAGAAGCAAATGACCTAACAGTGTGTCTTAGAATTGCCAGACCTGCCCACCAAGCCTAATTAGATATGCTACCTAGTCTTCCCAATGTTACTTTAATTTCTTCCTGTCATCACCTTATCTTCTTTTTTTGTTTTTTTTTGTCGGTCGTGGGGCTTGAACTCTGGGCCTGAGCGCTGTCCCTCAGCTCTTCAGCTCAAGGCTAGCACTCTACCACTTGAGCTACAGCGCCACTTCCAGTTTTCTGATGGTTTATTGGAGATAGGAGTCTCACAGTCTCTCCTGCCAGGGCTGGCTTTGAACCACGATCCTCAGATCTCAGCCTACTGAGTAGCTAGGATTACAGGCGTGAGCCACCAGCGCGCGGCTAACACCTTATCTTCTTAACAACAACTTTGTGGGAGAAGCTTTTGCCTCCCCTCATACCACACTGCTTTTGGCCCAGGCTGGTGCCAGATACCTCCATCCATCAACCCCTGATGTCTCAAGGGAGTGGAAGGTACAAAGGAAAAACTATGATGGGTTATTGTGAAAATGCTGTGATGCTGGAGAAAACAATTTCAACTCTGATGGAAATTAATATAAGGACTCTTAGCACTTGCAAGATGATTTGGTGCCACATTGTCATATTTGAAGAATTCCATGAGCACAACAGGAACACAAAATTCACATACATTTTTAAAATTCTCTTTTTTTCCCATGAATTTCCTGCAATACCCACTTAATCAGTATTATACAGCAGTGACACACACCATTGTTTCTACTAAGGGTTTAAAAGCTGAGGCTGGCATTGTTGCTCACACTGTCTTGGTGCTTAACCTCTCTGTGCCTGCCTATCTAGATGTATTTTCTGATATCAGAAAATAAATTTTAAAATAGAGGGGTTTTTTCTGGGGAGGGCTGTTGGGAGGAAAAAACTGGGAAGAAAGCAAGGGAAGAGGTAACACTGCGCAGAAAGAAATGTGCTCATTACCTGACTTATGTAACTGTATATCACCTTTACAAATAATTTACAAAAGAAAAAAAGCAGAGTTATCAGTAAACTTAATACATCAAGCTGACTTTTGTTAGTGCTTTGTTTTTATACACATTTCAGATAACTTTTTAAATTAAATAAAACATTTTCAGTATGCCAAGAGCTTAAATATTAATGCTAACCCTAGGCTAACAGAGTACATGTACAACACACAAAAATGAGAAAGGAAATCCCAGAAAAGATGATGGCCTTTGGTGCTTTGTTGGTGCTGTATTTAGTATGTAGACCACGTGTCCACCCTGGAATTTCTATTTGAGGAGATGTGTACATTAGAGTTATAAATGACCCAATGATTTCTGTGCATTGTAAGCCATATATTCATATATTTGAGTTCCACAAAGAGGGTATTTGAGTCTTGTCACAGAAGATTCCATTCTCAAGGGAATTTGGCTTATTTTTACATCATTAAATCATCCATTTAAAAATGCTGCAGCCTCCTGGTCAGCCAAGATTTCTTTCTTGCCAAGTTGTTTGTGCCAAATATGTACTAAATATGCCAAGTTGTTTGTACCTAAATATGCTTGACACAGGAACACACAATGACCCCTGACTCTTCCAAACAAAAAGACCACAGATGTCGTATTCTCTGAGAGACTAATGTCTCTTAAAGAGTTATTTTATGAATCTCCTAAATTCATCACGAAAGAAATGACAGGGCAAAAAATTTAGATATATTGATGCTTTTATTAGCATCTGATGGACACTGAGGTCTCATGCCTGTCATACTAGCTACTCAGGAGGCTAAGATTTAAGAATCATGGTTCAGAGTTAGCTTGGGCAGGAAAGCCCATGAGACAATCATCTCTACTAAACTACAAATAAATAAATAAAAGTAATAAAATCTACAAGTGGAGCTCTGTCTCAAGTGGCAGAGTGGTAACATTGAGAAAAAAATAAAACAAAACTCACAAAAAAACACATCACAGACAGCACCTATGGCCCTAAGTTCAAGCCTCAGGATTGGCACTAAAAAGCAACAACAACAGCAAAAGAATACTGACCTCAAAAATTTCCCTAGTATGTCTGTGAATAAAACCAAAATTTACTTAAAACAAAATTTTGCTTAAATCACCATCCATCAACTGAATTTGTTCTTGCTTTCATTTGCCAGGAAAGAGCAGGTGTACATGAGTATTTATTAAATCATTGAATTAATGTAGCAGATTAGAATAATAGCAGGTGTTTCATGCTCCATTTCTTTGTTATTGTGGTCCTTCCTCTTACATTTTTATAAGGTGTATTGTGTTGAAATGCTCCTTAGAAAAAAAAAAGAAAAGGGAAGCTATATTATC